ATTAAAAAAGCAACGATAAATTGCTATCGGTAGTTAAAAAAGAAGCAACCACCAACTTTGTTCTTCATTTTTCCATTCAACTCGAGAAATTTAGAAAATAGAACAAAAGGATTTCATTGTCAAAGTATAAAAAGCTCCATTTTTTTCATCTCCAACCATTATAATTAATTCATTCTCTTCTTTATTTTCAATTTTTAGAAAAAAGCTTTTAGATAAATTAAAATAATATAATGCCATAAATGACAAAAAAAAAAGAAAAGAAAATGGAATTGGCAAAAAAGTATGCAAATTTGTAATGACGAAGTGTCATGTACTCATCAGAAATAACAAAAAAACTAGGCTATGAGAAAAGATTCAATATTAGCATGGAGATATGTTTAAAAGTAAGTTAAAAAATGATAAAACAGTAACTTAAAAATAAATTGAAAAGGGATGAAAGCAATAAAATTACACCAAGTATATAAAAATAAGGTAAAAGGAAGATATAATTAATAGTTTTCTTTCCGTTATATGTGACCTTTACGAAGTTAAGTAAGCTATTGGAAAAATATTTAATCCATTTTAGGTTTTTAACCAATTTCAAAAAATTTACATAATTTGCATAATTGAGCGTGAAAAGAAATGTGACATCTTTGTTGAAAATACCTCAATTAAATTAGCTTTTTTAAATTAAATTAGCGCATTTGTTTCAAAATTATTCCACAATTCCTATTATTTTAATTATATTAAGTCTTCCCTAAGGTAAACGTTAGCTGAACATTAACGCCAGTTCATAAATCAAATGAACCACAATAATTAATGATATAAAAACAATACTTAATTAATTAAAAAGGAATAACTTAGTGCCAGTAGAATATCTGAAAATTTTCATTTGAAATTGGAAAAAACTTGACATGCCGATATTCTTTGTAAACTAAAATATACATTTATTTACTTCAGGAGTTAATAAATGTGCAATTGCTCATTGTTAAGTTATTATTCTCATTTGCGATTCCTAAAAAGTCAATGTTATTAACTTTCAAGATGTAACAGAAATTTCCCCAATCCAAAATTTAGTAGTTCAATTCAGGAAAAAAGCAATAAGTTTACTTCCATAATTGAGATCGCAAGATTTCAAAGATAAGAAAACACTATCGAATAGTTAAATCCTATTCCAGTCAAAATACAAACAATAATGAATTGTTATCGCTGGTCAAAAGGCGCTTTTTTTTTCACTTTGCTCTTCCATTTTCCATTTAATTCGAGAAATTTAAAGAATAGAGCAAAATGATTCCATTGCCAAAGTATAAAAGGCGCCATTTCTTTCATCTCCAACCATTATAATAAGTTCGCTCATTCTTTTTTTTTAATTTTTAGGAAAAAGCTTTCAAATACTACGCTTATCAGTGAAAGAATTATGCGCTGATCTTTCTCGACCAATTCCCAAATAATGTAGTACTTAGGAGTAAAACTTTAGGAAATATTAATTATAATAAAACAGATTTGATATGACAAAGTTGTTGGTATATATTGCTTTCATTATTTATTGTGGTGGTTAAGCTAACCAAGCAGGAGGACCACAACAAGTTCTAGAACTTATGCATCCTTCCTTTTTTGTCACTTCTCTTCCAGATATGTTTATCATGAATTGATATATCTCAAAAAATGATCAATAAACTTTGCTAATATTTTCTACTTTTTTCGGAATCAATTTAAATTGCTTTTTCGTGCTAATTTTTTTGCAAAAATGCAATTTTTTTTTTTATTTTTAAAAAAGCTGAAAAGAATTTTAGGTATTTTTTTTTTGAATATTTGTGCAAAAAAAAATTTTATTCAGGAAATTCAAATGTATCGTATTAAAATTTCCTAATTGTTATCATTTAATTTATATTTATGTTTTCTTTTCGGAATACTTTTTAGATATTTTAGCATTCAATATTTTATTCATTTTTTGCCATTACATTGTCAATTTTAAAACATTACTTTAGAGAAAATTTCGCGATAATTCAACTCATCGTTTAGAATTTGTGTTAATTTTATGAGAAAATGTAGGATATTTAAATTTTTCCGTCTTTTTTTTTTTGGAAACCAAAGTTTTATTTTATTGTTTATCTGTTTGAATTACAGTTACTGATCAAAATTTAAAGGTTTTTTTTTTTTAAAGGTAATCAATTATGCGCATTTGCTACTGTTTTCTTTTTTTACTGTTTGTTATGAGGGTAAAGAGGATTTGAAAAGTTTTTCTGGTAATTATCCACAATGAAACGAAAAGAAAAGACTAATCCTCTTATATTGTATGAAAATTTTTAAACTACAGATAGAAGGACATTTGAAAAAATTTATTATTAAGGTAATTTTTAAAGATGAAATATTTGTGTGAAGAATTTCTGTAGTTTAATGATTGATGTTAAGTTGATACATTAAAATGAAGTAAGAAAGCAAACTAATATATTAGTTATTTTTACTGGGAATTTTATTTCTCAAAAAAAAAAAAATTGTAATATTTGTTTAAATTTGAAATAATTGTGTGCCTTGAAAAAAAAATTAAATAAACTGAACACTTAAATTTAGAAATGAGCAATTCTGTACACTATCATTTTGATTTTTTTCGTGTAAATAAAAAATAAACCTTACTACTTCGTAAGTTCTTATTTTACTCAATACGTGGTCGTTGTTGTGATCGTAATAATCAAGCAAATAATTAAAAATACAAAATAATACAGATAAATTTACAAATAATTTAATGTAGAAGAAAAATGAATTGATTTTATTTACTTTTTGAACTTTTTATTATTAATAATAATTTCGATTATTTTCTTGTAGCATTGCTTTATCTAATAAAGCAAAATTTAGGAAAAGTGGAATAATCATAAAATGATTTAAAATATTTAAAAGTTGATTTCCTGATCAAAATTTGATTAATTAATGCCAATAGTACTTGACAGGTTAGAAATGTACTTGCAGTCATATGTGCGCACTCTTGCACGCGCAGAAGATCAAATAAATGCACGCATTCCTCATGACAATTGCTTTTTAACTTTAAATTATGTAAATTTTTTTATTTCTTCGTCTTTTTTTATTATTATCGCTGTTACTAAAATGAACTTGACTTGAAGCAATAATAATTTTAATTTCTCATTTTGTTATTAATTACTTTAAAATGCTGATAACGGCAGTGATAACATCAATTTTTTATTTGCCTTTTTTTGCCTTTAGTTTTAATTAACTATAATCAAACAAACTTAATATACGGTAAAATCTAATTCCGGAATCATTGGACATTTTCAAACATTTGCAAAACTTATAGATTGTATTTTACTCTTAGCACATTTCAGGTAAATATTTTATTTATACTTATTTCAATTATCTTTTTTTATCGTAAATTTCAATTTTGTATGTTAGGAGTGAAGATAGTTGAAAGATTTAAAAATTTGCAATAAGTTACATTGTTGAATCAGTTGATACATTAATAATAACAAATTTAAATTACAAATTTGGACTTCTATTTTGAAATACCGAAATAATTTCGCGTTTTCTGACAATTTGACTTTCTTTTCGAATTGTGTATAGTTGACTTTTTCTTAATTTGCGTATTCAGTAATGATAGACGATTTAATTAGGAAACGCAAATGCTAAATTTACGAACTGTCCTATTTTGAGTTTTATTTTCCAAGCGATATCGTTAAGGAATAATTTCACAGATTTATTTTGTTTTTATTATTTTACAATAATTTAAAATTAAAACTACTATGAATGTTAGGTTTTGACGTTCTGCGATAATTCAATGTTTTATAAAAATGAGAAATGCTTGCTTTTAGTGCTTTACGACAATTACGAATCATTCATTTTCATTGCTTAACAGTGATAAGCAATGCTTGTTTTCATTGTCTTATCAGATTCAAAATTTTATAACAATAGCAATCAAATATTCGACCTTTGTTTATTTAACTTTGAGTTAATTCATTCAAATATTTTAGTTCCATTATCTGAATCACAGATATATATGAAATTCGCATACCTCATTATATCTTAAAATAGAGTAAATAAGCTTTGATTTAAATTTAAGGAATGGTTTAATAATTTTGATATTGCTAAATTTTGAGATTAAAATTGCACATTTGCTGTTTTCCAAAAAGAAATATTTAATTATGTTTAATTGTTGCAAAATTTTATTAATTGAAAACTTTTATCATAGTTGCATTTTCATTTAGAAATGAAAAAGAGAGAAAAAGAAAGGAATAAGTGAATTATTTACATTTGTTTTTTTTTTTTTTTTTTGTGTGTGTCTTTTTTATGAGTAATCAAAACTGATTATTCCATTAGTAAAATAATTTTATCATTTTTTAAAAAATTATTTTCTTTTAGCTATTTCTTCTTACATATGAAATCAAACGTACTAAGAAGATGAATTGGTAGTTGGATAATGGTTAAGGTCGAAGGATTAGAAAGGGAAAATCATTGGTTGCGCTAAGCTTTCTATAAATCTTTTCAGCATTTATATTCCAAAAAGTGATACGGTATACTATCGCTTTTTGAAAATTAATAAAGCAAAAATGTATGGTAAATTTGTTTATCATTTCATTTTGTTTTTTAAATATTTTTTTTCCTTAGTTTATTGTTTTATCTAAATTTATAATATTTAAAAAAAACTCTGAAAATCAATTTGATTTTCATTTAATTAATTGAGAATTGAAAGATGGACCAACAAAATTTTTGTTTTTATTTCTTTTGATAGAAAAACTATTCGATAACAAAATTAGAAGGAAGTGGTGAAAGGTATAAGAATTAAAAAACTTAAAATTAAATAATTTGTTGATCCACTAAATTTTATAGCACTATATGCTTCTGAAAAAGTAACTTAAAATACATTAGTATTATTTATGCTATCAAAAGTAATCAAAGTAGCAACTTTAAATTAAAGTGTATTAAAATATTTTAATACAAAGTTGAAAGCAAGAAATGATAAATAAACTGTGAATAAATAAATATTAATTTTAGCGATACCATATCTGCCACGTTATATGAAACCAGGTCAACCTTGTGTCGTATGTGGTGATGATGCTACCGGTTTGCACTACAGGTATCATTTTTATCACTGATTAATCATTTAGATAAATAATTTATAAAATCATTCAATCATTTCAAAAGTTTTTGTACGCTATTTTAATTTTAAAAATAGCAATGAGAAAAAAAATGAGAAAATTTTAGAAATTTTAATAGGCTAAAAAATACTAATAAAAGCAAATCTGAATTAATCGTATTTAAGAGCGATAACATGCGAAGGTTGCAAAGGTTTCTTTCGACGAACCGTTCAGGTAAGTAATAAAATGTTTTTGCAAAAATTTTGTTAAAATATTAAATTGTTCAAAAAATATATCAATTGTGCGATATTGAACAAATAATTTGAGAAAATAAATGATAAATAGTTGAATATATTTCATTTTGAATATATTATTTGGTAAGTAATTTGTTGCACAGTTAAAATTTGTTGTTATCATTAATTAATCAGTGATTATTTTATCATTAATTCATCAAAAGTTTAGCATTATCTTCAAAATAATAAAAAGAAAGTCAAGAATAAATACTAACCTGTTACTTTTATATTTGTGGTACAAATTTTTTTCTAAATTTGTAGAAATTTCTAAATTTCAGATAATTTTTAAAAGTGAAATTTTGACGCATCAACTAATTTACGTGTATTTCAGCGTAATAAAGTGTAATAAGACGTAATAATGTCACATTTTTGCAGCAAAATATTGTGTACAAATGTAAAGGCATTGAACAATGTGAAATCAGCAAGTCTTCACGAAATATTTGTCAATTTTGTCGATTTCAAAAATGCATGGACAATGGAATGATGAAATCTTGTCCGTATTGATTGAATTAAGTGAAATTTAAAAAAATGAAAACTTTTTATTCAAACTTTTGAATTGATTTTAAATTAGACTAACTAAATTGAATTCACCTAAATTATGCTGAAATGATATCATTGCCATTCTTTGCATTATTCTTTTTAAAATTAATTTTATCGTCTTCACAACGTTTCCTTTGACTGATTTCAAAATTTAGAAATGTTTCGATATATTATTTATTTGAATCTTTTAGGTATTTTATAATTCAACAAATTTTTCATTCTTGACTATTTTTTTCAGTGGTATTAAATGAAACGGAACGGATAGCAAAACGGAAAATGATAAGTGATAACCGTGAACGACGGAAGATGGAACAACTAAGAGCAGTGTTAAGAACTAATTCATTAGCTGATAAACAGGACGAGTTTCAAACTCGAATTAATCAAGTGACTGCAAATTACTGCAAAATTCTAGATAGCTCATTAGAGGTTAGAGGTTGAAGTTCAGTTTTATCTTAGTAATTTCAAATAGTTGTTGTTTTAAAATTTGATCCTTCAATGAATATTGAAAGAGTTAATCCTTGAATTACTTGTTGAATTAAAATATTTTTAGTTAAAAGTAAGAAAAAATTTATTTGTAGTGAAGTCTTAAAAATTTAATTTCTTTTAATTTTATAACTTATAGAATTAGATATTTCTTACGTGGCAGCTTTACGTTAATCTTTATATATAATTAATATTGAAATACATATGTTCGCTTTTTTTTTTTACGAATTTATACGATTTCAATTGAAATATTGAGAAATGGTTTTGACTTAATCTTTATATCATTTAATTACTATTTTAATTGCTTCAATTAGCATAATATATCAGTGTGTATATATACTTGTCATTAGAACTAATTATTTCTTTAATAAAGCAAGTAATTACTACTGTTATTTGTTATCAAAATGTCCAGTTTATCATCTTTTCTTATCATCTTATCTAAAATTTAACAATTATTGTAAATCTTTCGATTTAGAGAGAAAATCTGATACGATGTACTTTTTTACAATTTGACTAATATTTTTTTCTAGTATAAATTCAAATCGGACATAAAATCGGAACGATTGTTAGAATTGACCGAATTAGTTACTCAACAAATACGACAATTTGCTGAGACAATCGAAATCTACGATAGTGTTTGTTAATTGATTTACTAACTTATTTTAATATATAAAAAATCGTAACTCTTTCCTTTTCCTCTAAATTTACTATTAAGCAGTAAATTGATTAATTCAAAAATCAATCTACTAATTAGCAATGATTGCTTATAGTTTTGCATTTTTAGTTGAATCATTCGGCACAAGAGGAAATAATTGAAAAAAGTTGGCTGGTAGTAAAAGTTTTGCAAATTATCCATGAATTCAATCCTACAGAACGTTGTCTAATGTTAGCCAACAATACAACTTATATAGCAGCTAGAGGCGATTATTCCGAATTGGATTATACGACGAAAATTTTTGAAAATTTAATAAATTTGGCTGCAAGTTTTCATTGCATGCAATTGGATAATCGACAATTAGCCTTATTGTCAGCTTTGCTCATTTACAATCCGAAAAATGTAAAAGAATGCGTAAGTTAATTTAACTACTTTTTTTATCATGATAACAGTTATTGTCAACTACTTTTTATCATGATAACAGTTATTGTTATCATCCCATTACTATCAGCAAATAAAATTAGCACTTAAATTGATATAAATTAGTAATTTTACTGTCTTCAAAAATTTGAAAAAAATAGTCAATAAACTTTGCCAATATTTTCTACTTTTTCGGAAGAATTTGAAATTTCTTTTTTACTTTTTTGTCCAAATTCAAAAAATTTAAAAAAAAAATTTGGAAAAATTTTTACTGTCTTCAAAAATTTGAAAAAAATAGTCAATAAACTTTGCCAATATTTTCTACTTTTTCGGAAGAATTTGAAATTTCTTTTTTGCTTTTTTGTCCAAATTCAAAAAATTTAAAAAAAAAATTTGGAAAAATTTTTACTGTCTTCAAAAATTTGAAAAAAATAGTCAATAAACTTCGCCAATATTTTCTACTTTTTCGGAATTAATTTAAATCGCTTTTTCGTGCTAATTTAATTTCAGAATTTTTTGAATATTTTTGTAAAACAAAAAATGTAAATTTGAAATTTCTTTCACACTTTTTTGTCCAAATTCAAAAAATTTTAAAAAAAAATTTGGAAAAATTTTTACTGTATTCAAAAATTTGAAAAAAATAGTCAATAAACTTTGCCAATATTTTCTACTTTTTCGGAATTAATTTAAATCGCTTTTTCGTGCTAATTTAATTTCAGAATTTTTTGAATATTTTTGTAAAACAAAAAATGTAAATTTGAAATTTCTTTCACACTTTTTTGTCCAAATTCAAAAAATTTTAAAAAAAAATTTGGAAAAATTTTTACTGTATTCAAAAATTTGAAAAAAATAGTCAATAAACTTTGCCAATATTTTCTACTTTTTCGGAATTAATTTAAATCGCTTTTTCGTGCTAATTTAATTTCAGAATTTTTTGAATATTTTTGTAAAACAAAAAATGTAAATTTGAAATTTCTTTCACACTTTTTTGTCCAAATTCAAAAAATTTTAAAAAAAAATTTGGAAAAATTTTTACTGTATTCAAAAATTTGAAAAAAATAGTCAATAAACTTTGCCAATATTTTCTACTTTTTCGGAATTAATTTAAATCGCTTTTTCGTGCTAATTTAATTTCAGAATTTTTTGAATATTTTTGTAAAACAAAAAATGTAAATTTGAAATTTCTTTTTTACTATTTTGTCCAAATTCAAAAAATTTTAAAAAAAAATTTGGAAAAATTTTTACTGTCTTCAAAAATTTGAAAAAAATAGTCAATAAACTTTGCCAATATTTTCTACTTTTTCGGAATTAATTTAAATCGCTTTTTCGTGCTAATTTAATTTCAGATTTTTTTGAATATTTTTGTAAAACAAAAAATGTGAATTTGAAATTTCTTTTTTACTTTTTTGTCCAAATTCAAAAAATTTAAAAAAAAAATTTGGAAAAATTTTACTGTCTTCAAAAATTTGAAAAAAATAGTCCATAAACTTTGCCAATATTTTCTACTTTTTCGGAAGAATTTGAAATTTCTTTTTTGCTTTTTTGTCCAAATTCAAAAAATTTAAAAAAAAAATATGGAAAAATTTTACTGTCTTCAAAAATTTGAAAAAAATAGTCAATAAACTTTGCCAATATTTTCTACTTTTTCGGAATTAATTTAAATCGCTTTTTCGTGCTAATTTAATTTCAGATTTTTTCGAAAACTTTTGTAAAACAAAAAATGTAAATTTGAAATTTCTTTTTTACTTTTTTGTCCAAATTCAAAAAATTTTTACTGTCTTCAAAAATTTGAAAATAATAGTCAATAAACTTTGCCAATATTTTCTACTTTTTCGGAATTAATTTAAATCGCTTTTTCGTGCTAATTTAATTTCAGATTTTTTTGAATATTTTTGTAAAACAAAAAATGTAAATTTGAAATTTCTTTCACACTTTTTTGTCCAAATTCAAAAAATTTTAAAAAAAAAATTTGGAAAAATTTTTACTGTCTTCAAAAATTTGAAAAAAATAGTCAATAAACTTTGCCAATATTTTCTACTTTTTCGGAATTAATTTAAATCGCTTTTTCGTGCTAATTTAATTTCAGATTTTTTTGAATATTTTTGTAAAACAAAAAATGTGAATTTGAAATTTCTTTTTTGCTTTTTTGTCCAAATTCAAAAAATTTAAAAAAAAAATTTGGAAAAATTTTACTGTCTTCAAAAATTTGAAAAAAATAGTCAATAAACTTTGCCAATATTTTCTACTTTTTCGGAATTAATTTAAATCGCTTTTTCGTGCTAATTTAATTTCAGAATTTTTTGAATATTTTTGTAAAACAAAAAATGTAAATTTGAAATTTCTTTCACACTTTTTTGTCCAAATTCAAAAAATTTTAAAAAAAAATTTGGAAAAATTTTTACTGTCTTCAAAAATTTGAAAAAAATAGTCAATAAACTTTGCCAATATTTTCTACTTTTTCGGAAGAATTTGAAATTTCTTTTTTGCTTTTTTTCCAAATTCAAAAAATTTAAAAAAAAAATTTGGAAAAATTTTTACTGTCTTCAAAAATTTGAAAAAAATAGTCAATAAACTTTGCCAATATTTTCTACTTTTTCGGAATTAATTTAAATCGCTTTTTCGTGCTAATTTAATTTCAGATTTTTTCGAAAACTTTTGTAAAACAAAAAATGTAAATTTGAAATTTCTTTTTTGCTTTTTTGTCCAAATTCAAAAAATTTAAAAAAAAAATTTGGAAAAATTTTTACTGTCTTCAAAAATTTGAAAAAAATAGTCAATAAACTTTGCCAATATTTTCTACTTTTTCGGAAGAATTTGAAATTTCTTTTTTGCTTTTTTTCCAAATTCAAAAAATTTAAAAAAAAAATTTGGAAAAATTTTTACTGTCTTCAAAAATTTGAAAAAAATAGTCAATAAACTTTGCCAATATTTTCTACTTTTTCGGAATTAATTTAAATCGCTTTTTCGTGCTAATTTAATTTCAGATTTTTTCGAAAACTTTTGTAAAACAAAAAATGTAAATTTGAAATTTCTTTTTTACTTTTTTGTCCAAATTCAAAAAATTTTTACTGTCTTCAAAAATTTGAAAATAATAGTCAATAAACTTTGCCAATATTTTCTACTTTTTCGGAATTAATTTAAATCGCTTTTTCGTGCTAATTTAATTTCAGATTTTTTTGAATATTTTTGTAAAACAAAAATGTGAATTTGATATTTCCTTTTTACTTTTTTGTCCAAATTCAAAAAATTTAAAAAAAATAATTTGGAAAAATTTTTACTGTCTTCAAAAATTTGAAAAAAATAGTCAATAAACTTTGCCAATATTTTCTACTTTTTCGGAAGAATTTGAAATTTCTTTTTTGCTTTTTTTCCAAATTCAAAAAATTTAAAAAAAAAATTTGGAAAAATTTTTACTGTCTTCAAAAATTTGAAAGAAATAGTCAATAAACTTTGCCAATATTTTCTACTTTTTCGGAATTAATTTAAATCGCTTTTTCGTGCTAATTTAATTTCAGATTTTTTTGAATATTTTTGTAAAACAAAAAATGTGAATTTGAAATTTCTTTTTTGCTTTTTTGTCCAAATTCAAAAAATTTAAAAAAAAACAATTGGAAAAATTTTTACTGTCTTCAAAAATTTGAAAAAAATAGTCAATAAACTTTGCCAATATTTTCTACTTTTTCGGAAGAATTTGAAATTTCTTTTTTGCTTTTTTTCCAAATTCAAAAAATTTAAAAAAAAAATTTGGAAAAATTTTTACTGTCTTCAAAAATTTGAAAAAAATAGTCAATAAACTTTGCCAATATTTTCTACTTTTTCGGAATTAATTTAAATCGCTTTTTCGTGCTAATTTAATTTCAGATTTTTTCGAAAACTTTTGTAAAACAAAAAATGTAAATTTGAAATTTCTTTTTTACTTTTTTGTCCAAATTCAAAAAATTTTTACTGTCTTCAAAAATTTGAAAATAATAGTCAATAAACTTTGCCAATATTTTCTACTTTTTCGGAATTAATTTAAATCGCTTTTTCGTGCTAATTTAATTTCAGATTTTTTTGAATATTTTTGTAAAACAAAAATGTGAATTTGATATTTCCTTTTTACTTTTTTGTCCAAATTCAAAAAATTTAAAAAAAATAATTTGGAAAAATTTTTACTGTCTTCAAAAATTTGAAAAAAATAGTCAATAAACTTTGCCAATATTTTCTACTTTTTCGGAAGAATTTGAAATTTCTTTTTTACTTTTTTGTCCAAATTCAAAAAATTTAAAAAAAAAATTTGGAAAAATTTTACTGTCTTCAAAAATTTGAAAAAAATAGTCAATAAACTTTGCCAATATTTTCTACTTTTTCGGAATTAATTTAAATCGCTTTTTCGTGCTAATTTAATTTCAGATTTTTTCGAAAACTTTTGTAAAACAAAAAATGTAAATTTGAAATTTCTTTTTTACTTTTTTGTCCAAATTCAAAAAATTTTTACTGTCTTCAAAAATTTGAAAATAATAGTCAATAAACTTTGCCAATATTTTCTACTTTTTCGGAATTAATTTAAATCGCTTTTTCGTGCTAATTTAATTTCAGATTTTTTTGAATATTTTTGTAAAACAAAAAATGTGAATTTGAAATTCCTTTTTTACTTTTTTGTCCAAATTCAAAAAATTTAAAAAAAAAATTTGGAAAAATTTTACTGTCTTCAAAAATTTGAAAAAAATAGTCAACAAACTTTGCCAGTATTTTCTACTTTTTCGGAATTAATTTAAATCGCTTTTTCGTGCTAATTTAATTTCAGATTTTTTTGAATATTTTTGTAAAACAAAAAATGTAAATTTGAAATTTCTTTTTTGCTTTTTTGTCCAAATTCAAAAAATTTAAAAAAAAAATATGGAAAAATTTTACTGTCTTCAAAAATTTGAAAAAAATAGTCAATTAACTTTGCCAATATTTTCTACTTTTTCGGAATTAATTTAAATCGCTTTTTCGTGCTAATCATTTTTGCAAATAAACTAAAGAGAATTTCAGATTTTTTTTGAATATTTGTGCAAAAAAATTTTTTTCAGGAAATTCAAATGTATCGTATTAAAATTTCCTAATTGTTATCATTTAATTAATATTGTGTTTTTCTTTTCGGAATACTTTTTAGATATTTTAGCATATTTTAGCGTTCAATATTTTATTGATTTTTAGCCAATACATTGTCAATTTTAAAATATTATTTTCGAGAAAATTTCGCGATAAAACTTTTTTCTCAATTTGCTCTGTTGTTTTACACGCAACATCTAATCGGCTTAACCGGATGAGAAATTTGTTCAAACCGTTTCCGGCTAACGGCATATCGTGTTGTCATTGCTAAAAATGTAAATAATTTTCGATTTGAATTTAGCAATTGTCAATTTCATCTCAAAGAAATTGTTATATTGAGACATAATGTATTAACAGCAAATACATTAAAAATAATATTTATCAAAGTTTGCATAAATGATACTTCTTCAATCGGCAAATTTCCATTTTCTAAGAAATTCATCTAAGCAGTTAAGGAATTAAAAAATTAAATGATTAAATTAAAGGGCTAGTGGAAAAGAATAAAATGACTGACATAAAGAAAATAAAATTGAAAACCACTAGTATAAAATATGAAAGAATTAATATTAACAGTACATAAGCACTGATAAATTCATACCAGAATCTGTTTGTATCAGCAAATTAACAGAGTAGTAGCTTATTGTTTTAGCAATTCAATAACAAAAACGTCAAATTTACGTCACAATGCAAAGTTCAACATTTATACTAATTAATTACTGATTATATATCAGTGACAATTGGACTACTTTTAATTCCTTTGATGCGAAACCTTTTTGTCTTATCACTTCGTGCTATTTCATAACAACAGTTATCATAGAAACCGGTTCGCAGACTGGTTGATAACTTTTGAGGTGATAAGGGCATATCACTGTGATATGCTTGAATGGTTGATTCAGTAAAAAAGATTTCAACCGATTTACTACAATTTGCATTTTCGTCTGCATCTATCAAACTGTAAACTATCTGAAATGATAGATGATAGTTAATTAACTGATATGCAAGCAAATTTGATATTATAGTAATATGATAAGACAGTATAAAAATAGCAAAAGTTAATTGTATTTAGCACAAAATGTTACTGAAAGGAATTGTAAAAGTTTGATAGTAAAATATTAAAATTGAAGAATTTGAATCAATGTTAAATTGAAATTATAAAGAAACTTTGTGCAATTTAAATTTTTTGCAATTTGGTTACATTCCATTAATGAAATTAATCAATTCATTGATTATTAACAATTCAATAATCAAAAATTGTAATGCAATTAAATTTCAATTGTAGTGTTTGTATACTTGGATTTAATATTCACTGTAACTCTTATTTTAATACTGAATACAATCATGCTAATGTTTGTATTTGGTTCATCGTTAAAACGATGTGAAAATGAGCTAAAAATGTAGGATAAATGAGAAATATTTTGTAGAAGGCAGAAAAGAATGTTACAAATAAGTAGCACTTCATGATATTATAAAAAAAACTTTGTAGAATTTAAATTTTTTGCACTTTAGTTACATTCCATTAGTAGAATTCATTGATTATTAACAATTCAATAATCAATTCAATCATTTATTTAATTATTATAAAATTGTAATGCAATTAAATTTCAATTCAAAATCTAATGTTTGTATACTTGGATTTAATATTCACTCTAACTCTTATTTAGATAACAACCAATGTGATTTGCTTAAATACTCCCACAAAACATTCATACGTCATTGAAATGAAACTTAGTATGCTATTGGATGATAACTTGAAAATCATTCTTGTATTTAAATTAATTTTAAATTCAAAATTGAAATACCGGTAATGATGAAATTTCATCACAAATAGCTTGCACAATAGTTTTGATCGTCTTTTGATCATTGCTACTATGATCAATGACAATTTTCTGACCATCGTCCATTTGTCCAATATGTACGATATGCCTTTAGATTTAAACAATTCTTATTTAAAATCATTTTCAATAATTCATTTCATTATTCATTTTTCAAATTATTACAATGCACAAACAATAATTATGCAACATTGAATGTTCTGTAAAACAATGAATTTTGTTTATTTTTTTCTCTAATATCTGATTTGTAGAATTTATGGGACTTTTAAACTTTTTTTTTTGAAATTATTTTAGCCATTATATAAGCACACTAAGCTATAATTTAACAATTCAAAATTGAATATTGCTTAATTATTTTATAATTTGCAAATATTAGGATATTAGCCTGCTCAGCCATTTTTAAATCTTATCAAAATCTTCAAAAACAGTAAGTAATATTTAAAAGATTTAATTTAAAATATCTCAGAGTATTACTTCGTCGGAATTATTAAATATTTCATTTTGCATTAACTATCTGTAATTTCGACGATTTGCTTTTTCCTTATTTCTTTGTTTAATTTTCTCTTCTTATAAAAATTTAAAATACTTGAATTCATTTGGTGGACCAATTTCAATTTTATCCTTATTGTGCTTTTTTGATAGCTTTCTCACAAATTGTTTCAACAATGTTTCATTGTCGTCAGCGAATTTTTGTGGTAGTGGCGGTGCCATTGCTGCATTAAAATTAAAAAAAAATAATTTTCATATTATTGCATTGTAATATTTCTTCCGTCAAATGCATAATCATAATTATATAATATACTCAGTAACTGATAAACATTAATTAATCAGTGATTATCAGTTAACTAACAACCACTAATTAAGCAGTAATTTGTAATAAATAATTATCACTCACTAATTTTTTCTGCTTATTAATAACAATAATGATAATTAAGCATTTAATCCATATGACAAATTACATATTCAATAGAATCAAATCATTTAAGCTTTTTTCCTAACATGTAAGAATTGATATTTAGAAGTCAAAAAAATGTGAGAATTTGGAAATGTAACAATTAAAAATTAAATTAAAATATCAGACATATATAAGATTCTGAAATTTAAAAATTAAAGTAATTTAATAAGAAATCTTACGAATAGTTAAAAGTGATTTTGTTGTCATTTCTTTTGCTAACGAAGCATTTTTAAACTTTTGCATGGAATATTGTTTGCCTGATGAATTGCTGGATGAAACCAATGATTTTGATGGGATAAAATTTCGTTTCATGCAACTTCGGACACTCTCAGCTGCTTCAATCAATTCAGGAAGTTTGTAAAATTGAGCTTCATAAATGATTAAACTTAACTTATAATCATCAACAGGCAAAGGATAACTTTTCCCATGGCGTAAATAACCGAGAATTACGGGAAATACATCGTTATTACGGTCGATAAATAAATGACCATTCTAAAAATTGATTATAATTTAATTAGTTTTCACTAATTCATCGCAGATGCTTGTTAGATTTATTTGTATGCCATTAAGAATTAAAACAAATTTTATCTTAATTCACTTATTATGTCTTTTTTCAATTTTAAAAACAAATAGATTTTATTCGAAGCTTATGCATCAATATGAAAATGAAATTTGAAGTGATTTTTGCATAAAATATTAAATGAATATTTTTGCAAAAAATAAATCATTTTAAAGAGTAGAAATCTTGAAGTTTTAAATTGAAGCAATAGTTAGCATTGATTCTTTATTCTTTTTAGAACCAACTATCAAAAGTTACTAGCAAAATTCCAAATTTACTTCTCAGAAAAGCAAATTACCGAATCCAATAAATGATCGCATTTTGCAGTAAACAATTGCTGAAAATAAGAACCATCGATCGAAGTGAGCGTTGTTACTTTTGTTTTAAATAAACGTCCACCAACATCCAAAACAATAAACTGTTCTTCCATTTAGCTTTCTCTCATAAAATTCTTTTAAATTAAAACTTTCACATATATTACAATTCACTTTATATAATATGTAGCCATATTCATGGCACTAAAGATCGGAATTCCGGAAACTTACCAGAATGATTGTTAAAATTTATGAATGTTAGCTATCAATGAATTCCAGTTACTGTAATCTACCTTAAAAATTGTAAAAAAGAAATTACGAATTTCAATAATTCCGGATGAAAATGGATTTTTGATCGTCGCAGAATACAAAGAGAAACAAATTTAGCAAATGAAAGATTACCGAATATTACATGACATTTCCGGAGTAAGGAAATAGAAGAAACCGGTTATTATTGGAATTCCAAGTAGCATGCTAATTACTAAATCATCGCAAAGATTGCAAAGAAAACTGCAATAATTTCAATAAATCTAAAATGATCTGTAAAATTCCCAAATACTGAAAAATCATTTCGAACCCAAAATGCAGAGGAAAATTGCTCATTGCTGAAATTTCAAGTGACATAAATGAAAATATAAGAAAAGGTGTCGTTGCTTGGGTAAACTTCTAAACTCTTATTTAAATACCCAAATTTAATGCTTTCTTTCAAAAGTAAACATTACCTTAGATTGACTCACCGTTCATTTCATTGCTTGGGCAAACATAAAAAATTAAGTTAGCATTTCGTAAAGTTCGCAAATTACCAATCAATTAAATGGCATATTGATGTATCACGTGGTTTAATGATAACGATTATTTATCAACAAAGACTGTCGCAGAATGTCAAATCGTTTTTATCTGTAGTAATCATATCAACAAGCCATTTGTACCCTTAGAAAGTATGAAATATGTCCAAAGAAAAATTGAAAATACCATCGCTGAAATTCTACAAAATGCCATAGATCAAATTAACTAGCAATCAAATTAGTAACATTTTACATTTGTAGAAATTTACAAAGAGCAAATTGATTCAATTCTTTGATTGATCGGCAAATCAATTTATTTTAATTTTGTATTCTGCAATATCAATGTCTTTTTGGTAGTCATAGTTGTTGTGTGTTTTTATGATTACCTTCACTTTTGCATGCTTTTCAACTTACTTTACTTTACTTACTGCACTTTTTTCCATTTAAATGTATTAGAGCGAAGGCAAGTAAAAGAAATCAATGCGACAGATATAAAAATGTTTCAAGTAAAGTTAGGAGATATCATACTGTTTTTTGATATTTAATTTAAATCCGAATGAATAAGTTAATATTATTATTATGTAAATTAGCAAATAGCTTTCAACAGATCTAATTCAGAATTATTACGCTTTAGTCATTGTTAAATATAGTCCTTTCTTCTTCCCAATTGTAATTTTCATTTTCTAAACATTACCAATTATAAACATAAGAATGATTTATGCCTAATGAATCAGACAGTCTTTTTAAGCATTTAATTTTTATCGAATGCAGCACTCGATTATAAGGAACATTATAAATTTTTTTGCATGGAACAGCTGGAATCAAATTAATTTTCAAAATTTTTTGACGTTTCATACTGAAATTTTTTTTTTTTTTTGTTTCTTGATTCTTCTTCGAGACGCTTCAAACAAAAAAGAAACTAAAAAAATCACTAAAATCCTATAAAAACAGATAAGTTCGCTTTTTCCACGAAGAAACATTTCTCCATGATATACACAAAAATTTCAGGTTTTATCATTTACTATTTCTCTTATAGAATGAAAATATACGAATTCTTGTTTTTTCTTTTCATTTGACTTCCGTCTTTCGGATTCCTTTCATTAGTACATTGAATTTTTTCGATGTTAAAATGTGATTATCAACCTTTATCACTTGCATATTAACAATTCTAATAATTTCACTTTATCAAATTAAGAGTGTTTCGCACAAACAGCAATGGTTTCTCTTCCAAAATAGACACTCTTCCATCTTCCATTCTATCACAATTCAATAGCATTGCTGCAAATATAGAAATTATTATGGAAATTCATTTCTTCCAGAACTGAAATTAATTGTTCAAAACTGAAAAGTGCTAATAATCAATCCTTTATAAAATTAACATACATTCTTCTACTTGGGTTGTCTGTGTCAATGAGCCATCATCCCATAACTTGTCAATTTTATAATCTGTGATAATCTCCACGGCTGAAATTGATGCCAGGGAATATTTGATCAACATAACATTTTTGAGATAACTTGAAATGATTATTACTATTTTATCATTTCTAACTTATTAGCCCATGATAATTCACGTTGTGCTGCAAAACTAATCTTAAGTGACATTCGAACTGAAGTTACTCCATCGTCAATTTTTGGAATATAACAGAATGCACAGAGCACATACTTAGATTTGTATTTCATATTGAACACACCTGGAAGAGAAGTGACAAAAAAGGAAAGATGCATACCTGCCACAACTTGTCTACCTGCTTGGTTACCAGCTTGACCACCACAATAAATGATGAAAGCAATATATACCAACAACTTTGCCATATCAAATCAATTGTGTTATAATTTATATTTCCTAAAGTTTCACTCCTAAGTATTACATTATTTGAGAGTAATAACTTTTGAAGTTTGGTCGAGAAATATGGGTTCACTGATAAATATAGTTTCTATGAACTTTTCTTAAAAATGGGAAAAAAAATGACCGAACTAATTATAATGATTGGAGATGAAAAAATGGCGTCTTTTATACTTTGACAGTGAAATCCTTTTGTTCTAAATTTCTCGAGTTTAATGGAAAAAGGAAGAACAAAGTTAGTAGAACGTAGAATGACAAAAATGCTTTTTTTTTAAACTACCGATAACAATTTATCATTGCTTTTTTAATTATAGAAACAGTTGACAAAAAATTTTTGCATTTTCTATCATTTTTTGATAGGAAATAAGAAAATTTTCTTTTCTTTAGGGAATTAACAGGATTCTGCCACTCGATAGTGTTTTTTCTCTGAAATATTAAAATGTAGTCCGAACTTTGGGAGTAAATCTATTGATTTTCATTTGAATTTTAATATCACGAAAATTTCTATTACATCTTAAAAGCTAATATTGTTGATTTTTAGGAATAGCAAATGAGAATTAGTAATAACTTAACAGTGAGCAATTGCACATTTGTTAATTTTTGAAGCAAATAAATGTATACTTATGGTGAAATTTTAATTTAAAAATAATATCAACATGTCAAGTTTTTCTAATTTCAAATGAAAATTTATATACATTCTCTTGACATTATGTTATTTCTTTTAAATTGATTAAATATTGCTTTTATATCATTAATTATTCGTACTTATTTGATTTGCCAAATTTGTATTAACATCAGCTGAACCTTCTGTGCTGTACGATGAATGCCATTTCGGTTTCCTGAAAAAATTACATTCATGTTTGGATCATGGCCTCATTTTACTTACTTGAAGTTATATATCATTTATAGCGTTAATGCTCAGCTAACGTTTATTTAATTTGAACGCCAGTTTTTATGACGATTTTATCATTTTTTTGCTTCATTTTCATTCTCAATTATGCAAATTATGTAAATTTCTTGAAATTGCTTGAAGACCTAAAATGGTTCAAATTTTTTAAAAAGTGCTTAAAAATCTAAAATGCATTAAATACCTTTCCAACAGTTTACTTAATTTTATGATGGTACACTCTTTCCTTTTATGTATTTTAAACACGGAAAGACGGAAGCAAACTATGGTAATTAATATACTTATTATATCCATCTTTCACATATTTTTTATGGTAGTTTCTTTTATTATGTATTTATTCATAGTTCTTTTTTCTTTGCGATAGATTGAATTTTTTTTTTTTCACTTTTTTATTAAATTACCTTCTTTTTGCACAATGTATACTATTACTGGTAAATATATAGTATCCTTCTTGTTTAATAATTCACATTTCTACTTTTTATTATTGATTTTCATTTTCACATTTTTTTGTTGCTAATTTCATTTCATTTTCATTTTCCATTTGTTTATTATATTTATCTGTTTTATCAAATCTTAGTTTTTAAAGGTTTCTGTCTAATAGTTTTTTTTACTGTTTCATCGCTTTTTACTTACTTTTAAGCCTAATACTGAATCTTTTCTCACAAGCTACATTTTTTTTTTAAATATTTCTAATCAATAAATGATATTTCGTTATTTTTGCCAATTTCATTTTTTTCTCTTTTATACACAAACAATTATTTTTTCTTTTTACATATCACTTTATTAACTACAATTGTTATGTGTTTTCTGTGATTATTTTAATGTCTTAGAAATCAGAAAAAAAAAATTAATTTATTGTTATTTATTAAAAAATAGAGTTTTTTTAACATCTCAGTGCATAATTGCTGATTATAAGCTGTCTGATATTTGCAGTAGTGTTCAAATCACTTATGCTTTTACTCCATTTGCGGTATTTCTTAAGTTCAATAAAATTTCTCTTTATCTTTTTTTTTTCTTTTTTTTTAAAATATGACTAAATATGAACAAAAAAGTCAAAATAAAAAAAAAGAAAAAAAACAAGAAATTAAGAACAAAGCATAAGTAGAATATGCTTGCAACTTAAAAAAATTTCACAAAAATAAAACCGAACATAAAGATCACATTGAAATTCGTAGTCCATCATCATAATCTTAACTTAAATAATTAGCTAGATGATTTCAAAGACTTTTAGTTAATTTACTTACTACGTGTGCTAATTGGTACTAGTTATTACCACCTGCTACTCTTTGCAACCACTTGCTAGTAATAGCAAAAGTGATAGAAAGCTCTGATATTTGCATTTAGAATTCATTCAAATTTAAATCACTGATATTAAAAAGCAGCATGATGTCTTGATACAATGCTAAATGTTTTCGTAACTATCCGAATTGAAACATTTGCTGCTATTTGCTTTCAGATTCACTGAGATTCCAGTCATTAATATTAGAAATCAATATGAAGCAATCTTATAAATAATAAAGGTACTCAAACAATTGTTTTAAATATCGAATTTTTATGAGAAGCAGTGTTGGCTTGCAAGATAGTTGTAAATTTCTTGCATGAAAGAAAAAATCAAAACGGTTACTATTGAAATTTTCTTTCTTCTAAAGTCTCTACAATTAAAATTTTTGGTGCGTACTTCACTTTAAATATTTTTGTATGCTTTTGGAGATCAAATATCATCGCAAAAAAGAAAATTCAAACTTATCGAAGATTTACAATTTCAGTTTCAATATGATCAAATACTTGTGCGAAAAAATAGTTCCTTTTTTTTAAAACTGCTTCGAATAATCTCTTAAAATCAACATAGAAAATAAAAATGTGAAATGAAAATATATGAGTTCTTGTTTTCTTTTTTCTTTCATTTGTTAGAAAACAGTTCCTTTTTTTTTAAAAAAGTTTTCAGGCAGTCTCTTAAAATCAATATAAAAACTGATAAGTTGAAAATCTTATCTTTTGCCACGAGGTAACAACAATATGAGCTTTTATCATTCATTATTTCTCTTATAAAATAAAAAATACGAATTCTTGTTTTTTCTTTTTCATTTGACTTCCGTCTTTCGGATTCCTTTCATTAGTACATTGAATTTTTCGATGTTAAAATGTGATTATCAACCTTTATCACTTGCATATTAACAATTCTAATAATTTCACTTTATCAAATTAAGAGTGTTTCGCACAAACAGCAATGGTTTCTCTTCCAAAATAGACACTCTTCCATCTTCCATTCTATCACAATTCAATAGCATTGCTGCAATCATCGAAATATTTATGTAAATTCAGGACTGAATTTAATTATTCAGAATTAAAAAGCGCTAATAAGTCAATTCTTTATAAAACAAACATACATTCTTCCACTTGCGTCGCTTGTATTAATGAGCCATCATCCCATAACTTGTCAACTTTATAATTTGTGATAATCTCCGCGGCTGAAATTGGTGCCAGGGAAGTCTGTCTAACATTACTTTGAAATGATTACTGCTATTTTATTCTTTTTAACTTATCAGCCGATAATAGCACGAATCATTTCAAATTTTTTAGCAAAACAATCGAGTAGTTAAGTAATTCACTCTGTCTGCAAAATTAAAAGTAAATGGCATTCGAACTGAAGTTACTTCCACCGTCAAATGCTGTTTCAGCAGAAATTTTTGAAATATTACGGAATGCAAGAGCACATACTTAGACTTGTATTTCATGATAAACATACCTGGAAGAGAAGTGACAAAAAAGGAAGGATGCATACCTGCTCCACGTGCTCCTGGCTGTGCTTGGTTGGCAGCTTGGCAATAAATAATGAAAGCAATATATACCAACAAGTTTGCCATATCAAATCAATTGTGTTATAATTTATATTTCCTAAAGTTTCACTCCTAAGTACTACATTATTTGATAATAACTTTTGAAATTTGGTCGAGAAATATGGGTTCACTGATAAATATAGTTTCTAAGAATTTTTTTTTAAAATGGAGAAAAAAAGAATGACCGAACTAATTATAATGGTTGGAGATGAAAAAATGGCGTCTTTTATACTTTGACAGTGAAATCCTTTTGTTCTATTTTCTTAATATCTCGAGTTGAATGGAAAAAGGAAGAACAAAGTTAGTAGAACGTAGAACGACAAAAGTGCTTCTTTTTTATAGCGATAACAATTTATCATTGCTTTTTTAAATTATAAAAAACACTTGACAAAAAAAATGTGAAATTTCTTTTTTTGTTAGGAATTAAGAAAAATTTCTGGTAGAAATTAATAGGATTTCGCCACTTGGTAGTTGTTTTTTTTTTTCTGAAATCTTAAAATGCAGTCTGAATTTTGGAAGTAAATCTATTGATTTTCATTTGAATTCTAATATTACGAAAATTTCTATTACTTCTTAAAAGTTAAAATCGTTGGTTTTTGAAGAATAGCAAATGACAGTTAGTAATAACTTAACAATGAGCAATTGTATTCGATAGTTATTTTTTTCTTTCAAATCTTTTACGATCTGAATTATGGAAGTAAATATATTGTTTTTTTTTTTTCTGAATTGAGCTTAAGAAAATTTGACTTTTTGGGAATAGCAAAAGTAATAACTTAACAATGAGCAATTGCGCATTTATTAACTTTTGAAGCAAATAGATGTATGTTTGTAGTTACATTTTAGTTTAAAAAGATATAATTTTCTTTTTTTATAACTTATATTTTCTAAAGATTTACTCGTAATTGCTACATTATTTGAGAATAATAACTTTCGAAGCTTTGAGAAAAAAAAGTTCTTCATTGATCATTTCCTACTGATAAACATAGTATCTAAAACATTTTCTTAAAAATTAAAAATAAATAATCGAACAAATTATAACGGTTGTAGAAAAAAAATGCCGTCTTCTATACTTTGACAATGGAATCCTTTTGCTCTATTTTCTAAATTTCTCGAGTTGAATGGAAAAGGAAGAACAAAGTTTGTAAAACGTAGGAAAACAAAAAATACTTTTTGACCACTGATAATAACTGAAAATAAAAATTTGAAATGAAAATATATGAGTTCTTGTTTTCTTTTTTCTTTCATTTGTTAGAAAACAGTTCCTTTTCTTTTAAAAAGTTTTCAGGCAGTCTCTTAAAATCAATATAAAAACTGATAAGTTGAAAATCTTATCTTTTGCGACGAGGTAACAACAATATGAGCTTTTATCATTCATTATTTCTCTTATAAAATGAAAAATACGAATTCTTGTTTTTTCTTTTTCATTTGACTTCCGTCTTTCGGATTCCTTTCATTAGTACATTGAATTTTTCGATGTTAAAATGTGATTATCAACCTTTATCACTTGCATATTAACAATTCTAATAGTTTCACTTTATCAAATTAAGAGTGTTTCGCACAAACAGCAATGGTTTCTCTTCCAAAATAGACACTCTTCCATCTTCCATTCTATCACAATTCAGCAGCATTGCTACAATTATAGAAATAATTATGGAAATTCATTTCTTCCAGAACTGAATGAAACGAACAAATGAAACTAAGAAGAGTAATCAAATTCTTGAAATGATTAAGCATTCAAAATTAAAAATTCCACTTAATTAATTTATTAATTTGAAATGCACATACATTCTTCTACTTGCGTTGTTTGTATTAATAAGCCATCATCCCATAACTTGTCAACATTATAACCCGTGATAATTTCCGCGACTAAAATTGATGTCACGTTGAGATAATTTGAAATTATTGCTTTGTCACTCAATTATTTCATCAGTTTTAACTTATCACCTACAATAATACGAATCATTCCAATTTTTTTGCCTAAGCATTGAATGACAAAGTAATTCATGTTGCGCTACAAAACTAAACGTACTGGCATTCGAACTGAAGTTACTTCCACCGCCAAATGCTGTTTCAGCAAAAATTTTTGAAATATTACAAAATGCACAGAGCAAATATTTAAACCTGTGTTTCATAATAGACGTAACAAAAAAGGTGAGATTCATACCTTCGCCATTTACTCCTGCTGCTTGGTTTGCTTGGTTGGCAGCTCGGCCACAATAAATGATAAAAGCAATATATACCAACAATTTTGCCATATTAAATCAATCGTATTATAATTAATATTTCCTGAAGTTTTACTCGTAATTACTACATTATTTAAGAGCAATAAATTTTGAAGCTTTGTCGAGAAACACAATTCTTCACATATTTTAGCTTAAAAAGATATTATAATTATTGTTTATAATTAATATTTCCTAAAGTTTTATTCCTACTTACTACATTTTTTGAGAGTAATCTTTTGAAGTTTGGTCGAGAAAGATCGGCTCACCGATAAATATAATATGTAAAAGCTTTTTCTTAAAAATTGAAAATAAAGAAGAGAATGAATTAATTATATAATGGTTGGAGATGAAAAAAATAGCATCTTAAATACTTTGACAATGGAATCGTTTTGCTCTATTTTCTAACTTTCTCGAGTTGAATGGAAAAAGGAAGAACAAAATGAATAGAACGTATAACAATAAAAGCGCTTTTTGACCAACGATAACAATTTATCATTGCTAGATTTTATGATAGGAATTAACAGGATTTAACTATTCGATAGTGTGTTTTTTTTTTTCTTTCAAATGTTTTGCGATCTGAATTTTGGAAGCAAATCTGTCGATTTTTTTTTTTTTTTGAATTGAGCTATCAAATTTTAGTACTACCAAAATCTCTTAAAAGTTAATAATGTTGACTTTTTAGGAAAAGCAAATGATAGTTAGTAATAACTTAACAATGAGCAATTGCACATTTATTAACTTTTGAAACAAGTAGATGTATGTTTATATTGACATTTTAGTTTAAAAAGAATATAGCCATATCAGGTTTTTTCAATTTCAAATGAAAATTTCTCTTGACACCTAATTAATTCTATTACTTCTCTAATTAAGTATTGTTTTGATATCATTAGTATTGTTTATTTGATTTATGAAGTTGGTATTAACGTCAATTGAAACAAATGAGCAAAAAAAAAAGACTGATTCATTAAGGTACAATTTCTTGTGAAATGAATGTATACGAGTCCATGTTTCCTTTTCTTATTTTTTCATTATTTTTTTTTTTTTTAAATAGATCCTTTTTTAAGAAGTGTTTTAAGGAATCTCTTGAAATCAAAAAACTGATATATTCTACGAGGAAACAAAAATTTGAGATTTTACCACTCATTATTTGTCTTATGAACTCTAAAATATAAAAAATAAAAATGTAAATGAAAGCGAAATAATGTCCGATGAATCCATCCCAAGTAATGCTTATACATCAAACTCTTTGTTTCAGCATGTTTATATTGTAAATCCTTTATGCATTGTCCCCAATCTCATGTCTTTACTATAGATTCTTCATGTTTTGTTTCCGATAATGCTTGTAGCTCAAACTCTTTGTTTCCTAATCTTACGTTTTCTGCATACATTGTGTCTTAGTTTAAACATTAAATTACCTTTCTCTCCCTTTCTTTGTCTACATTCTGACTGTGACTATCCTAGGAACCTAATAAGGAATTCATCATCATCATCAATCCCACGTTAACAATCAATTAATTGTACATAACCATGAAGGATCTCTTCTCAACTTCTACCTTAATACAAATCCTTTTACGAAATACAGCTGCTAGGCCTTCATCCAGGCGAAACATCGTTTCGTCACTTACTGTGGATGATACGCTGTCCTAGAAAGTAATTTTTTTTTATACCCAAATTTAATGCTTTCTTTCATTACCTTAGATTGACTCACCGATAAAAGTAAATATTACCTTAGATTGACTCACCGATAATTTCATTGCTTGGGAAAAAATGAAAAATTAAGCTGATATTTCGTGAAGTTTGCAAATTATTAACCAATTAAATAGTAACTGATATGTCACAGGCCTAATTATAACAAGTCTGAGCTAAACAATTATCAAATCTTTTATCTATTGTGATCATATTATTGTGCCATTTATACAATTAAAATGTATGGAATACGTCAGAAATATCACCTTTTTTGGAAATTTGGAAATCTGCAAAATGCCATAGATCAAATTAATTAGCAATTAAATTAGTACATTCTAAATTTTTAGAAATTTACAAAGAGCAAATTGATTCAATTCTTTGATTGATCGGCAAATCAATTTGTTTTAATTTTGTATTCTGCAATATCAATGTCTTTTTGGTAGTCATAGTTGTTGTGTGTTTTTATGATTACTTTCACTTTTGCATGCTTTTCAACTTACTTTACTTTACTTACTGCACTTTTTTCCATTTAAATATATTAGAGCGAAGGCAAATAAAAGAAATCAATGCGACAGATATAAAAATGTTTCAAGTAAAGTTAGGAGATATCATACTGTTTTTTGATATTTAATTTAAATCCGAATGAATAAGTTAATATTATTATTATGTAAATTAGCAAATAGCTTTCAACAGATCTAATTCAGAATTATTACGCTTTAGTCATTGTTAAATATAGTCCTTTCTTCTTCCCAATTGTAATTTTCATTTTCTAAACATTACCAATTATAAACATAAGAATGATTTATGCCTAATGAATCAGACAGTCTTTTTAAGCATTTAATTTTTATCGAATGCAGCACTCGATTATAAGAAACGTTATAAATTTTTTTGCATGGAACAGCTGAAATTAAATTAATTTTCAAAATTTTTTGACGTTTCATACTGAAATTTTTTTTTTTTTTTTGTTTCTTGATTCTTCTTCGAGACGCTTCAAACAAAAAAGAAACTAAAAAAATCACTAAAATCCTATAAAAACAGATAAGTTCGCTTTTTCCACGAAGAAACATTTCTCCATGATATACACAAAAATTTCAGGTTTTATCATTTACTATTTCTCTTATAGAATGAAAATATACGAATTCTTGTTTTTTCTTTTCATTTGACTTCCGTCTTTCGGTTTCCTTTCATTAGTACATTGAATTTTTCGATGTTAAAATGTGATTATCAACCTTTATCACTTGCATATTATCAATTCTAATAGTTTCACTTTATCAAATTAAGAGTGTTTCGCACAAACAGCAATGGTTTCTCTTCCAAAATAGACACTGTTCCATCTTCCATTCTGTCACAATTTGGCAGCATTGCTACAATCATTAAAATAAATTCATATCTTCCAGAATTGAATAAAACCGACAAATGTAACTAAGAAGAGTAATCAAATTCCAGAAATGATTATTTATTCAAAATTAAGAAATTCCAATTAATTAAATCATTGTAAAATGCACATACATTCTTCCACTTGCGTCGTTTGTATTAAGGAGCCATCATCCCATAACTTGTCAACTTTATAATCTGTGATAATCTCCGCGCCTAAAATTGATGCCGGGGAATATTCATTAACATTGCAGAACTTTTGAGATAACTTAAAATGATTACTAACTACTATTTAATCATTTTTAACTTATCACCTACAATAATACAAATCATTCCAAGTTTTTTGCCTAAGCATTGAGTGACAAAGTAATTCATGTTGCGCTACAAAACTAAACGTACTGGCATTCGAACTGAAGTTACTTCCACCGCCAAATGCTGTTTCAGCAGAAATTTTTGGAATGTTACAGAATGCACCGAGCACATACTTAGATTTGTGTCTTACAATATACATATCTGTGACAAGAAATGGTAAGATGCATACCTCCTCCATTTCGCATCGGTGCTGGGTTAGGAGCTTGGCCACAATAAATGATGAAAGCAAGATATACCAACAACTTTGTCATATCAGACAAGTCCTATTATAATTTATAATTCCTGAAGTTTTACTCGTAATTCATTATTTAAGAGTAGTAAGTTTCGAAATCTTCACCGATAAATATAGCAGCTAAAAACATTTTCTTAAAAATTGAAAATAAAAAGGGAATGAATTATTGTAACGGTTAAAGATGAAAAAACGGCGCTTTTTGTATTCGACAATGGAATTCGTTTGCTCTATTTTTCAAATTTCTCGAGTTATATGGAAGAAGAATGAACAAAGTGAATAGAATGACAAAAACGACAAAAAGCGCCAATTTGACCAGCGACAACAATTCATCATTGTTTGTGTTTTGATCGGAATTAATAAGATTTAACTATTCGATAGTTATTTTTTTCTTTCAAATCTTTTACAATCTGAATTATGGAAGTAAATCTATTGTTTTTTTTCTTTCTGAATTGAGCTTAGGAAAATTTCTGTTAAATCGTGAGAGTTGATAGCTTTGACTTTTTGGGAATAGCAAAATTAATAACTTAACAATGAGCAATTGTACATTTATTAACTTTTGAAGCAAATAGATGTAATTTTGTGGTCAGATTTTAGCCTAAAAAGATTTCTTAAAGTTTTACTCCTAAATGTTAAAGCATTTAAGAATAATAACATTCGAGGCTTTGTCGAGAAAGATCGGCGCACAAGTTTCGATAGAAATTAACAGGATTTAACTAAGAGCACTTTCTTGAAAGTTGAAAAAAATTTGAATAACCGAACTAATTATAATGATTGGAGATGAAAAAATGGCGTCTTTTATACTTTGACAGTGAAATTTCTTTTGCTTTATTTTCTAAATTTCTCGAGTTGAATGGAAAAAGGAAGAACAAAGTTGGTAGAACGCACAAACATTACTTTTTGACCATTGATAATAATTGATTATTACTTTTTTTTAATTGTAAAAAAACTTGACAATGAAGTGGAAACTTTTTTTTTCCCTTGTTTTGTTTTTGTAAGAATTAAGAGAAAATCTTTGATTGAAACTAACACGATTCTTTTTTCCATGAATTTGTAAAAGTTATACTTTTTTAATTCAACAAGTTTTCATCCTTACGATATAGATTAGATTAGGGTACCATTTTGTATTTTGTTTAGTCATATGAAGTATTTGAAATTGGATAGTAAATCGGAACATTGATTTATTGTTCGGAAATTTCGAATATTTTTTATTCTTTTAATGTAATTCAAATTAATCTTTTATAATAGATTTGGTTAAGTGTTAATGTAAAGTGATTTGAGGTGCAAAATGAATTTTCAAACTTTAAATGAATATTGGAAATAACTTTACAAAACAAAAGTTTAATTTTTTTGTCCTTGTTGGCTTGACATGATATGCAAGAGCACTTTCAGTGTTATTTTTATATTTTCAATGTAATTTCTGCTAGTCAATGTCATACTAAGCTTACATTATCACTATAATGTGATATCATATTGATAATCAGATATTGAATAACTGTTGACTGTAACAGTACTTTACAAAAATTTGCTAGATAATATTGACACAAAAAAATTGATTAACTTTAAACTCTTAATTTAAACTTTAATAATCAGAATTTTAATATTTATCGTTGGTAAAAGTTAAAAAATATCACAAAAATTGATCTAATGATGTGCAATTTTAAGCAAGAAAAGGTATTCAAATTTTATCAGATGAAATTTTATTTTACTGCCAGATGATTAACTTTATGTCAAAATTTTAAGCAAATTTTAATATTTATTAAAAATGATTATTTCCACCGCTGTCTATTAGTACATGCTATTGTATCATTGTATTTTAATTAAGAAAAAACAAAAGAAATTCTTTCTTTTTTTAAATTAGTTTTTAATATTTTAAATACTTTAATATTTTTAATTTTTTAATATTTTACTATTTTTAATATTTGAAAAATTGGTTTTTAATTTTAAAAAAATCGAAATAGCTTCCGGAACAAAAAAAAAAAAATTAACAAATATTATTAACAAATTCATGCTTTATTCAATTTACAACAAAGCGAAAACTTCAAAATAGTTTTGAAAAATATTTTTCTCGAGCAAATTAATGTAAAAGAAAAAAATAATTTTTAGTTTAATTTTCTGTTTTTTTTTAGTTTATATTTTTAGTTTATTTTTAATTGAAAAATTAATAATTTTTAGTGCTCTCAATGTTTAAATTATCGCTTATCCGGTAGAAATCGTTCATGTCACAGTAACATTTTCCGGAATGAAGGGTAATGTCATCTAAAATGATCACTCATTTCTTTTCTAATTTTATGTGATACTTGAATAAAAAAATAAATCAACAAATCATGTTGTAAAAATGATTTGAAAATACTACTCGTCTTTTTTCATTATTCAAGAGTTTGAAATCTTACAAAGTTTAATTTAAACTTGATCTCTAAATACTTGTCAAATTTTCAGAACATGCTTCACGCAAATTTTCACGTTCTAGGTGCTCCTGCTTGGTTGGCTTGGCCAACACAATAAATGATGAAAGCAATATATACCAACAATTTTGCCATATCAAATCAATTGTGTTATAATTTATATTTCCTAAAGTTTCACTCCTAAGTACTACATTATTTGATAACAATAACTTTTAAAGTTTGGTCGAGAAATATGGGTTCACTGATAAATATAGTTTCTAAGAACTTTTTTTAAAAAATGAAAAAAAAAAAGAATAACCGAACTAATTATAATGATTGGAGATGAAAAAATGGTGTCTTTTATACTTTGACAATGGAAACCTTTTGCTCTATTTTCTAAATTTCTCGAGTTGAATGGAAAAAGGAATTCAAATATTTCTCATTACCAGCAATACATTACGAATTCAGATGCACTTCAGGATTGATTAAATGATAAATCGAACGATGTCTATGAAAAATTTTAAATTCATATTCAGCATTTCCAATCTTTTTCACACTTTCTCCATATTTTTGTCTTATTTTTTCAAATTCATTAATCTTTTCTCACCTGTCTTTTGTTATAAAGCGTGATAAATATTTTATTATTTCTCTCAGTATATATTTTGTGTATTATTATTATATGTTGAGATTCCTTTGCTAGTTGAGGAGAAAATCATGCAGAATCCGTAAAAAATTGAGTAATTAGTAAATATAAGTATGCATTCTTCTCTCAATAATTTGAAATTTATGTATTTTCGCATTTATGATTTTTATCATTATATATTTTTTATAATAATTTCAACAATTAAAAAATCTACTGTACATTATGGTGATCTCGTTAATTCCATTTTAGATATCGATTAATCTAATAGATGATAGATTATCTAGTGATAAGTTATCTGTAATTCTATGCTGGTGATAATTTGGTGATCATTTTATGCTAGTGACAAATTAATGATCGCTCCAGATTAGATTACCTTGAACATTTATTACTACAAAAATACAGTAACCTTAATTTAACGATTTTCATTTTTTTTTTTTTTTTTTTGAATCACTAATTTAGAAATGAAGGCATCAATGTTAAATTTTGATAGACTGATAAAAGGAATTTTTGATTACTGTCACTCTAATTTTCACCTATTATTACTTCAACTTCTCATTGAGTATTAGTCCGACTTCTCATTTACTATTACACCAACTTTTCATTGACTACCATTTCACTTTTTAATGCCTTTGCTTCATTTATTGTCACCCATAAATATGCAAGGAAGGGTATTTTTTACATCAAAAACTAACTAATCTAGTGTGTATTTCTGTGTGTGCTAAATTAATCAGCTTTTACCTTAATTTTTCTTTTTTTTTTTTTAAATGATATTTGATGCTGATCTTCAGATCTATTATTTCATTCTTCTAATAATAAATACTTTCAAATTCAACCATTTCAGTTATTTTCTACATTTAAATTTATTTATTCATAAATGTTCTTGTTGAGTTACGAATTTACTTAATAAAAAGTGTTCGAAAAAAAATACTTCAACATAAGTGCGCTTTACAATTATTATGGGAGAACTAATTCATGGATAAAATTATGTAACTGATTGAATCATAAAATCATTAAAATTTTTTATACTTGACGAAATCGGACTATTTGTCTCCACCGTAAATAATGTTCTGAAAGAGTAACGATAATATATATATATATAATCCTAAAACTAGCCTAAATATGAGATTTCTAAAATAATTAAATTTATCTGGGATATGTAATGTTTGTGCACAATTCATCTAGCCTAGCACTAGATGCTGGGCTATTTAAAAAGAAATGAGTAGTCTTTCAATATGAGGGATGGGTATTGCCTAGTCAATAGATGAGGAGAAGAGAAAGCCTAGTGAGGTAGGATTTTTTTTCTATTGCAATTCAAATACTTTTAATCATTTCTTAATTATTTCAATCATGAAGTGCTACTTATTTGTAACATTCTTTTCTGTCATCTACAAAATATTTCTCATTTATCCTACATTTTTAGCTCATTTTCACATCGTTTTAACGATGAACCAAATACAAACATTAGCATGATTGTATTCAGTATTAAAATAAGAGTTACAGTGAATATTAAATCCAAGTATACAAACACTAGAATTGAAATTTAATTGCATTACAATTTTTGATTATTGAATTGTTAATAATCAATGAATTGATTAATTTCATTAATGGAATGTAACCAAATTGCAAAAAATTTAAATTGCACAAAGTTTCTTTATAATTTCAATTTAACATTGATTCAAATTCTTCCATTTTAATATTTTACTATCAAACTTTCATATTCCTTTCAGTAACATTTTGTGCTAAATACAATTAACTTTTGCTATTTTTATACTGTCTTATCATATTACTATAATATCAAATTTGCTTGCATATCAGTTAATTAACTATCATCTATCATTTCAGATAGTTTACAGTTTGATAGATGCAGACGAAAATGCAAATTGTAGTAAATCGGTTGAAATCTTTTTTACTGAATCAACCATTCAAGCATATCACAGTGATATGCCCTTATCACCTCAAAAGTTATCAACCAGTCTGCGAACCGGTTTCTATGAT